TTGGGGAAGCCCCATTATTTACGGGTTTAGGGTTTAGGGTTGATATACCCATTATGGTAACTTGATTTACGTTTCTTTACAGCAACCCAGGAAATTTTCTCGCAAACTCAGACGCGATCGGCACTCAACAGCTTCGTGCGGTGCTAGCAGTCTACGGCACAGTTGCCACTGTGCATTTTACAGCTCCTACTGTGCTGAATGAGAACAGTATGGTTCTGATGTATACAATACTGATGCTGGCTTCCATGCTTGCTGCTTACATCGAGCGAGGATATAACGCAGTGAGCTGGGTGGTGGTATCCTTTTTCTGCCGTGTCCCGGCAGTCATCTTGACCAGGCGATTCTCAATCATCGCCATACTGAACATCCCCTTTCTACTAATTGAGTCGCAGCACTGGCCGACATCTGCACTGGCCCTTGAATTCCTGACCCTTGCCATGGTGACAATCCTGGCCTTGTCCATGGAGGTAATCCTCACGCAAGCGGCAGAATATGACATTCGCTACAATGAAGCGCAGCTGGAGGTCAGGGTAGCCAAAGCTCTCTTGGACCTCATCTGTGATGCTGTGACGCTCAACTTGATGTTGCCGTATCTTTGAAAGAGCTTGCGCGTGTACTTTTTGTCGGTGCCTGTTCTTCCTCAAGTTTGCAGGTTGCTAACATGTAGCCTTGGCATGCCGAGAGCCCCAAGACACGCTTCTTGTTTCCCGTGACCTCGATGGCTCTCATGCCTCACGCAGCCCTTACTTTAATGTCAAGCGCGGACTCCTCAGGGGTTTTCTGGGGATGGGTCGGCACAGCACATCAATGATAAGGGAGACTGAGTCAACCTGCATAGCTGCAGAAACAGTAGCTTCCGGTAAAATGGAATCTTTAGCAGGACCCGCTCGTCAATGATTTGTAGAGGCCCAGTAAGTGTGGTTTGCAAGACAGTTGAAGGAATTTGCCGGGATTAGACGCATGCCCTTCTGGCACCAAAGTTGGCAGGGAGATCAGTGTTGCTCAGCCCAGGATTGAGTTGGATACTTCGCTTCGACTTGCCCAACATTCATCACAGCTTGCAACGGTACTCCTGAAGGACAGCTTGTTATAGCTGTGGTCTTTTCGGGTGTCTCACTGCATGCTACACCTTGCGTGATCTTCAGGAAAGACTCCATGATGCCCGCGTATCGTACAATCCCTTTGCCTGACGCATCTCGAAGGGTACCCTTCTTTCTTTAGAGAACCCTGGAAGAAGTAGCAAATCAGAAGCAGCCATGGACGGCACGACCATGAAATCATTTCAATTCTTTTCCACATATAAGGGTTCTCCTTACACACACCAAAACAGTGTCAACCTAGTTTTGTGGGATTCCAATTTTCTAGCAGGGACCTTGGGCCAGAGATGCGCAGGACCGACCTGGCTTCTCCCTCGCTGGTGATACCTGTCAGAGCATGCGAGACTAAGGGAATAGAACGCCTATACAACAGAATCCCTAATCGGCAAAGGCTTTCGAGTGCAAGGCTCAGGCTTTCAGTTTTGCTTTGAAATGTCGGAAATTTAGGGTTTCTCGGAGTTTTTTGTTAGGGAGGTTGGTTAGGATGATAACCAGGTGACTTATTGATGTTCAGGGATTATGGCGGTGTGGTATGGATTATATGGATTATACGTAGGTTCTCAACCTTGCACCCCCTCGGAATGGTCAAGCATAAGCTCACATCCAGCCTGATGGCTGGAATTGTCTACGAATGCCTTCCCATTTGGGCATAGCTGCGACGAATGTGGCAAAGGTGCAAACTCATTCAAACGTGAGTTTCTGCAACATGTCAGTTGTTCTTTTGAGCCCTTGCAAACCGATGGTGCAACCCAATCCAAACGTGAGTTTCCGCAGAATGTCGATTGTTTCTTTTGAGCCCTTTCTTGAGTCCAGCGTTCTTTCTTTGGCTTTCTTCTTTGTGCAGAGGAAAACGTTTACTGTTCGGGTTTTGACGCAGGACACTGCAACGGACTTACACGTCAGCAAAATCATCATCCAAGTTGCTGAAGGCTAAGCCTGTGGAAGTGAAAGAGCAAGTGAACAACAATGCCATGAACAGAAACACGCAGATTGCTCTCAGCTATGTTCATGTGGGGTTGCAAGTGGACTTAAATCCTAGCCAGTTAGTTGACCCACTTGGCCCGTATCCTGCGTGCGAGAGGCCCGTGAAGCCCTTTAAGTGTCGCACGCATTGACTTGTAGAACATAATTAAAACGAGATACGCGGGATCGGGAACTCCAAGAGGAAGCCGCTGATTTTAAGGCGTCTGTTGCAAAGGACAGGTTCCAGGACTTGGTGGCCACCCGCGAGGAAGCTGCAAAGGTTGTTGAGCGCCTTGGTCCACAGAGCTCATCTCGCTTGTCCTCAGATGAGAGCCTGGGGTGCAATGGAAACAAGTTCCTTCAATGTTGGTTTTGACCTTGAGGGACAAGTAGTGTGCAAGAAGCCTTCAAGGATTGTTGCCGGCGCTTTTCATACCCGCTTGGTGGACAGCTGCTCAAGCAAGTTCCGCACAGAAGTGTTCCATGTGAAGTACCACAAGCCCGACGGCACACCCTGCCCCTCTACTTGTCTTGGTCGGTGTTGGTTTTTGATGACGTGATGGGCAAAGACAAAACCCATTTGATACTAGCTCTTAGTATCAAAAACCCCATGCAACCTTGACGAATGCCCTTACTCCATGGACTCCATAGACCCCATGCAAGCCAGGCTTCTTGCTTGGACTTCGAGATGTCACAGACCAGAAGCCGGGTGGCTGTTAAGGAATCTGGAATTAGGTTGCTATAGTGGGGAAACAATATAGTTACTATGTATACCCGTTATGGCAAC